GGGAAGCTGTGGCTGCCCCTGGATCCCTGGGTGATCCCTGGGTGATCCCAGGGAAGCTGTGGCTGCCCCTGGATCCCTGGGTGATCCCTGGGTGATTCCAGGGAAGCTGTGGCTGCCCCTGGATCCCTGGGTGATTCCCAGGGAAGCTGTGGCTGCCCCTGGATCCCTGGGTGATTCCCAGGGAAGCTGTGGCTGCCCCTGGATCCCTGGGTGATTCCCAGGGAAGCTGTGGCTGCCCCTGGATCCCTGGGTGATCCCTGGGTGATTCCCAGGGAAGCTGTGGCTGCCCCTGGATCCCTGGGTGATTCCCAGGGAAGCTGTGGCTGCCCCTGGATCCCTGGGTGATCCCAGGAAGCTGTGGCTGCCCCTGGATCCCTGGATGATCACCCAGGGAAGCTGTGGCTGCCCCTGGATCCCTGGCAGTGCCCAAGGCCAGCATGGGCAGGATTTGGAGATGGGGGACAGCGGGAGGTGTCCCTGCCCATGGCAGGGGTGGGGGGTGGAATAAGATGATCCCTAAAATCCCTTCCATGATCCTTGTGGGTCCCTTCCCACCCGGGACACTCCACAATTCCCTGAGTGCTGCCCAGCTCCAGGCCCTGGAGAAAGGAGCCTGCAGGGCAGGGGATGAAACCCCACCCTGGAGCAGGGCTGGGAGATCCCAGCTGGGCCCAGTTATCCCCCCAGACGAGGGTGGGGGTGAATTCCTGCTCTGGAATAACCCATAAAGCCACTGCAGGCAGGGCCTGGGCCTCGTAAAAAGCAGCCCTGGAGCTCCAACCCCACACATCCCACGTTATTCCCGGCCCTGGGGGCCATCCAAGCCTTGATCCCCCCACCCATGGGGGGTCTGCATCCCATCTGGGAACAGCTGGAGCTCCCCCACGGAAACCACAGAGCCCCAAACCCCAACTGCCCAATTTAGGGCCCTAAAACCCGGCCCAGGGCCTGGGCACGGGGCTGGGAGAGCTGGAGCTCAGCCAAGGGAGCCCCAGGAAGGAGGGGGAAAACCAGGAATAACCCCCCTGGAAACTGGGGAGACTGGGATTGGGAGAGATGGGATACTGGGAAGGGATTCCTGGCTGGGAGGGTGGGGAGGGGCTGGGCTGGAATTCCCAGGGAAGCTGTGGCTGCCCCTGGATCCCTGGGAGTGTCCCAGGCCAGGCTGGATCCCCCTGGGATGGTGGGAGCTGTCCCTGCCCGTGGCATGGGGAATGGTGGAAACAGGCGGAATTCCCTGGGGAATTCTGCCCCTCCCAAAGGGAAAGGCCCTTTCCCTGCTCCAGGGGACATCCAGGGCCGCTCAGCTGTGTGGGATGAGGCTGGGATGGGTTCCAGGGGATCCCATGGATCTCTGCTGACTCCAGATGGAGCCATGGAATGCCCTGAGTGGGAAGGGACCCCCCAAGGATCCCCATCCGGCTCCTGGCCCCGCTCAGGACATCCCAAAATCCCCCCCTGTCCCTGAGAGAGCCTTGTCCAAGCCCTCCCTGAACCCTGGCAGCCTTGGGGATGTGCCCAGGGAATTGTTTAGCTTGGAAAATCCCCCTGATCCCACCCAGCCCTGCCCGTGTCCCCAGGGATGGGATGGCATGGCATGGCATGGGATGGGATGGGATGGGGATCCAGGGCTGGGCAGCCTTTCCCAGGAGGGATTTTTCCCCACTATCCCACCTGAGCCATCTCCAGCTGTTCCCTGGGCTCCTGTCCCTGGGCTGCCCCTCGGGATGAAGCTGCAGATCCCAAGGAATCCCCCCCTGAGCCTCCAGTTTTCCAGCTGGACAATCCCAGTGCCCGGAGCTGCTCCCACACGGCTCCACCTCCAGACCCTTCCCCGTCCCCCCATCCCTCCTTTGGACCCTCTCCTGTGGAATCCTGGATTGGTTTGGGTCAGAAGGGACCTTAAATCCCATCCAGTGCCACCCCTGACACAGGCAGGGACAGCTCCCACCATCCCAGGGGGATCCAGCCTGGCCTGGGACACTCCCAGGGATCCAGGGGCAGCCACAGCTTCCCTGGGAATTCCAGCCCAGCCCCTCCCCAAGAATCCCTTCCCAATCTCCCCCCTAACCCTGGGCAGCCATTCCCTGTGTGCTGTCCCTCCAGCCCTCATCCCAAATCCCTCTCCAGCTCTCCTGGAGCCCCTTCAGGCCCTGCCAGGGGCTCTCAGCTCTCCCTGGATCCTTCCCTTCTCCAGGGGAACATTCCCAGCTCTCCCAGCCTGGCTCCAGAGGGGCTCCAGCCCTGGGATCATCCCCATGTCCCCTCTGGATCCACCCCAGCAGCTCCACATCCCTCAGGAACGTCAGACCCCAATTCCTTCCCAATATCCCAGCTAAACCTCACTCTTCCACCTGTTATTCCAATAATTCCTCCCAGAATTTCAGAGCCCAGACCTCACTGCTAATTAAACTCAATTATCTCCACCTCTGCCATTCCCTGAGAAACCCTGGAGCTGCCGTTCCAGAGGCTGGAGTGGCTGCCCACACCCCCAGGGCAGGCAGAGCCAGCCCAGCCCTCCCCTCCCCGTTCCTCAGCAGCTTTCCCTCCTGTCCCTCATTCCCATCATTCCCGAGCTTTGCTCCGTCATTCCCGAGGTCATTCCATGACTCAGCACTTCTCCCAGGCATTTCCCTCCCCCCTGGCTGCACTGGGTGACCTTCAGAGGGCCCTTCCCACCCCAACCACCCCACAAATCCGCCTTTTTTTCCCAAAACCAGGAGGTTTTGGGAAAACTGAGCTCTCCTATATCCAACAATTGGGAATTCCAGGCCCCTCCACAGGGGTTGGATGGACCTCAGAGCCCTCTGAAGGCTCCTTCCAGCCCAAACATTCCACTGCTCCGTGATTCCAGGCCAAAATTCCCGGGGAATTCCGGCAGGCTCCGGCTCCGGAGCGTCCCTGAAGCAGCAGCAGCACAGCAGGGTCTGAACCCCCCAAATCCACCTTCCCTACAAACAGCGGGGTGGGTGCTGGCTCTGGAGCGCTGGAGGGGGAGGGAATAACCTGGAAAATCCCAGGATAACGTGGAATGAGGTGGAATAACCCCACTGTGGGGGTGCAGAACGACACAGACCATCAGGAACAGGGCAAAGCTCCTCAAGGAGAGGAGCTCCCAAGGAGAGGTTTGGGAGCATCCAGGGATCCAGGGGAAGGGAATCCTGAGCCACAGAGGGAAAGGGAGACAGGGAGACAGTGCCCTGGAAAGCCTCCAGGAGAAGGGACAGGGATCTGGGATGGGCTGGAGAGGGGCACCCACATTCCTGGGGGGCAGGGACTGCCCCTCCTCTGGGCCCTCTGCAGACAAAATCCTGCCCAGCCCTCAGAGCAATTTAATCCCTTGTTTCATTTTGATCCTCTGCCCTTTTCATGTTCCCTTTCCCCTGAGGGGCTTCCAACAACCCCAGTTCAGCAATCACAAAACCACCTCCTTTTTTGTTTTTTTGGTGATTTTTTTGGTGATTTTTTGGTGATTTTTGTGGTGATTTTGTGGTGATTCCTGGAAGGAAGGGGAGCTCCTGAGCTGGGCCAGAGGCTCCCAGAGCTGCTCCCTGCACTCCATCTAGTGGTTCCCAGCCTCCTGCTAATTAATGACTGCCCCTAACGAGGAGGAACAGCCCAGGGAACGCCTGGATCCTTCCTGAGGGGATGGGGATGAGCCTGGGATTCATCCCAGCAACTTCCAGGGATGGGGCAGCCACGGCTTCCCTGGGAATTCCAGCCCAGCCCCTCCCAGGGGGGGGGATTTCTTAACCCCTTCCCACTTCCCTGCTTCATCCAGGAAGGGATGAAGCTTTCCCAAGAAGGGAAAGGCTGCTGGATCCCAAGATCCAGGACAGAATTCCTCGGGAAAAGCGGCAGCCAGGAACAAACTGAACTTCCCTGAGGTACCAGGGCACGTTCTGGGGAGTTAAACAGGGGAAAAGAGCTCCAAAACCCCATTTACAGGGGGGAATCAGGCACCCCCAGCCCCAAATCCTTCCCTGGGAGGGTGGGGAGGGGCTGGGATGGAATTCCCAGGGAAGCTGAGGCTGCCCCATCCCTGGGAGTGTCCCAGGTCTCGAGCCCTGAGGGGGAGGAACAGCACCCTGGGCACCCTCACCAGGCAGGAACTGGGGCTTAACGGGACTCAGAGCCCCCAGTCTGCCTCCCAACCCACCAGCACACCCTTGGGGGGGGAATTATCCATCACAAATCCATCTGGGAATGAGGAAGAAGGAGCAGGAGCACAGCAGAGTTATCCCAAACCCTTGTGGGGGAGATTATCCATCACAAATCCATCTGGGAACGAGGAAGAAGGAGCAGGAGCACAGCAGAGTTATCCCAAACCCTTTGGGGGGGGAGATTATCCATCACAAATCCATCTGGGAAGGGGGAAGAAGGAGCAGGAGCACAGCAGAGTTATCCCAAACCCTTGGGGGGGATTATCCATCACAAATCCATCTGGGAACGGGGAAGAAGGAGCAGGAGCACAGCAGAGTTATCCCAAACCCTTTGGGGTGGGGGATTATCCATCACAAATCCATCTGGGAAGGGGGAAGAAGGAGCAGGAGCACAGCAGAGTTATCCCAAACCACCCAAAGATGCCCTGGGGCAGCGAGAGGAGCAGACAGGAGAGCTGAGATCGCACAGCAGAATAACAAAATCAACCAAATTCCAACAGGGAAGAACCAAATTCCAGCCTGGGAAAGAGGTTCCTGAAGTTCCCCTCAGCCTTTCCAAGTGATCCCTGGAGCAGGGTGTCCCCAACCCAGCCTCACACCCCGCCTGGGGGCTGACCTGGCACACCCTGGGTGGGTTCTGCCCACCCAAAGCTCGCAGGAGCGGCCACAAAACATAAACCAACCCCCCCCAAAAAAAAAGGGTTAAAAACATAAACCAACCCCCCCCAAAAAAAAAGGGTTAAAAACATAAACCAACCCAAAAAAAGGGTTAAACTGCAGGATGCAAATCCCTGGGAAAGCCCCTGCTGGAAGCCCTGCCCCGTCCCACATACATACTGCTTCATGGCCACCAGCTTGGAGTCCATGCTCTCCTGCTTGCCCTTCATCACCTGGATGTCCGTCAGCAGCTTGGTGACGTTGTCCTGCCGCACCTTGATGTCCTCGTGCTTGATGCCAGACACCTGGGGGCACGGGGGACGGCTCAGGGGGGCGTCCCTGCCCCCCAAAACGGGCACCCCAAGGTGTAAAATCGGGGTACAGAAGCTCTCCTGGCCCCTCTCCCGCCCAGGCCCAGCGTGGGCTGTCACGGGGCCGCTCGTCCCCGGGGTGTTTGGAATGGGTAAATTCCCTCCTAAGAGGTAAATTCCCTCATAAATTAAAAAAAAAAATGACATTTTTTGGATCAGGAGGTCAGGGAGGAGGAAGGAGGGAGGGGTGTGCCAGCCCAGACCCGTGTCCATCGGTCACACCTTGGGAAAATCCATCATTTTTAATCGACGACGACACGGAAAACTTGGGGGCTGCAAAAATCCCGGGAGTAAAATTGGGAAGAAACCAGGGAAAAAAAAACCCTCCTCCTGGCAGGATTTCTGCCCCCAAAGTGGGCCAGCAATTAGCAAGGTCGTTAACAGCTCTGAGGGGGAAAACCGGGAGCGGAGAGGCCGCTGAGGGAGCAGCCCCGGCATTCCCAGCACAGGAGAAGCTCCTGATTTCAACCTCCTGGTAAAATATTCCCAGGGAACGACACCCAGGCAGGTCCCAGAGCTCCAGAACGCCGGGAATCTGCCAGCCAAGGGGTTAAAACACCCTCAGAGGACTCCAAGACCTCTTTACACCCCACAGGGGAAACACCCAGAGGAGCCAAATCCCTGCAGGAAAAATGGGATGTGGGGTTATTTGAGAGCACCCCGGGAAAGGAGGGGAAGGAGCTGCTCCATCTGCACATTCCAGGGATTAATACTTGGAGAAAAGGGAGCAGAGCATTGTTCCTCCAGCCCACACTTCAGGATAGATTGATTACCTGGGCAAGTTCATTTGGACTGATCCAGAATCCAGGGGATGCTGGTGAAGGTGGGGGATGTGTGGGATGGATGGGATAAAAAGCACCTGAATTTTGGGATCAATCCTGGGTTTGAGCAACCCCCAAGACGTGGAGCCTGAACTTACACTGGTGACCTTCCTCTTGATGTTCTCCAGGAGGTGCTCCTGGCCCCGGATGAAGTAGGGGTGCTGGAATTCCGTGTCGTCCTTCTCCGGCTTCACCAGCCCCCCCTGCTCGATGTGCACGACCTTGCGGAAGCCGTCTGGGAACAGAGGGAAGGGGGAATTCAGGGAGCATTCCAGGGCTCTGGAACGAACCCCCCCAGCCTGGAAATGCTGCTTGGAACGAGAAACCCACCCAAAACTTCCAGGGAAAAGGGGCTGACCTTGGTCCCTGCACGGCCTGAGCAGCCCCTGAGTGAGGCCCCTGCAGCCACCCCATGGAATCTGGGAATGGGTTGGGTGGGAAGGGACCTTTGGGATCATCCAGTGCCACCCCTGACACAGGCAGGGACAGCTCCCACCATCCCAGGGGGATCCAACCCGGCCTGGGACACTCCCAGGGATCCAGGGGCAGCCACAGCTTCCCTGGGAATTCCAGCCCAGCCCCTCCCCAAGAATCCCTTCCCAATCTCCCCCCTAACCCTGGGCAGCCATTCCCTGTGTGCTGTCCCTCCAGCCCTCATCCCAAATCCCTCTCCAGCTCTCCTGGAGCCCCTTCAGGCCCTGCCAGGGGCTCTCAGGTCTCCCTGGATCCTTTCCCTTCTCCAGGGGAACATTCCCAGCTCTCCCAGCCTGGCTCCAGAGGGGCTCCAGCCCTGGGAGCATCCCCGTGTCCCCTCTGGATCCACTCCAGCAGCTCCAGGTCCCTCAGGAACATTGGGAAGGGCTGCAGGGGGGTCTCACCTGAGGGTGCAGAGGAGCAGAACCCCCCCCTTTCCCCGCTGCCCACGCCGTGGGATCAGCCCAGGCCGGAGCTTCTCCTCCGGCAGCTCCCAACTCCACTCCGGTCTCCACCAAACCCCGTCCCCCCCTGCTCCCCAGGTGTGTCCCTGTCCCAGGAGCAGGTGTGTCCCTGTCCCAGGAGCAGGTGTGTCCCTGTCCCAGGAGCAGGTGTGTCCCGTGCCACTCACACATGTTGAGCTGCCTGACGAAGCTGGCCATGTTGTTGTGTTTGAAGTACTTGGGCAGCACCTCCTTGGCGAACTGGCCCTGGTCGAAGACGTGGAAGCTGCTCCCGCTCTGCAGGGAACAACGGGGAGAGGGACGTGAGCAAACCCTGATCCAGCCCTGCTCCAGCAGGATCATCCCCCAGGAACAACGGGAGAGGGATGTGAGCACCCCCTGATCCACCAGGATCATCCCCCAGGAACAATGGGAGAGGGATGTGAGCACCCCCTGATCCACCAGGATCATCCCCCAGGAACAACAGGAGAGGGACATCAGCACCCCCTGATCCACCAGGATCATCCACAGGAACAACAGGAGAGGGACATCAGCACCCCCTGATCCACCAGGATCATCCACAGGAACAACGGGAGAGGGACATCAGCACCCCCTGATCCACCGGGATCATCCCCAGGAACAACAGGAGAGGGACGTGAGCAAACCCTGATCCAGCCCTGCCAGGGGGGGATCATCCCCCAGGAACAACGGGAGAGGGATGTGAGCACCCCCTGATCCACCGGGATCATCCCCCAGGAACAACGGGAGAGGGACATCAGCACCCCCTGATCCACCAGGATCATCCACAGGAACAACAGGAGAGGGACATCAGCACCCCCTGATCCACCAGGATCATCCACAGGAACAACAGGAGAGGGATGTGAGCACCCCCTGATCCACCGGGATCATCCACAGGAACAACAGGAGAGGGACGTGAGCACCCCCTGCTCCACCGGGATCATCCACAGGAACAACGGGACAGGGACATCAGCACCCCCTGCTCCACCAGGATCATCCACAGGAACAACAGGAGAGGGATGTGAGCACCCCCTGATCCACCAGGATCATCCACAGGAACAATGGGAGAGGGACATCAGCACCCCCTGATCCACTGGGATCATCCCCCAGGAACAACAGGAGAGGGATGTGAGCACCCCCTGATCCACCAGGATCATCCACAGGAACAACAGAAGAGGGACATCAGCACCCCCTGATCCAGCAGGATCATCCACAGGAACAATGGGAGAGGGACGTGAGCACCCCTTGCCAGGGGGGAATTCATCCTGCCAGGGGAATCATCCCCCAGGAACAACAGGAGAGGGACATCAGCATCCCCTGCCAGGGGGGGATCATCCTGCCAGGGGGATCATCCCCCAGGAACAATGGGAGAGGGACATCAGCACCCCCTGATCCACCGGGATCATCCACAGGAACAACAGGAGAGGGATGTGAGCACCCCCTGATCCACCGGGATCATCCACAGGAACAACAGGAGAGGGACATCAGCACCCCCTGATCCACCAGGATCATCCCCAGGAACAACAGGAGAGGGACGTGAGCACCCCCTGATCCACCGGGATCATCCACAGGAACAACAGGAGAGGGACATCAGCACCCCCTGCTCCACCGGGATCATCCACAGGAACAACAGGGACAGGGATGTGAGCACCCCCTGATCCACCAGGATCATCCCCCAGGAATCCACCAGGATCATCCCCCAGGAACAACAGGAGAGGGATGTGAGCACCCCCTGATCCACCGGGATCATCCCCCAGGAACAACGGGAGAGGGACATCAGCACCTCCTGATCCACCAGGATCATCCCCCAGGAACAACAGGAGAGGGACATCAGCACCCCCTGATCCACCGGGATCATCCACAGGAACAACGGGAGAGGGATGTGAGCACCCCCCGATCCACCAGGATCATCCCCAGGAACAACAGGAGAGGGACATCAGCACCCCCTGCTCCACCAGGATCATCCCCTAGGAATGCACAGCCCCCAAACCCCTCCCAGCCCTGCAGTTTTTGGGGTTTTTTGGGAGCTGTTCCCGTGGGAGCACGGACAGGGCTCGGCTCCTCACGGTTCCTCATCCCAGCCAAGCCAAGGCCTGGGCAACAGGGCCTGAATCCCAGCTCCCTGCAGTTATCCCAGGGGAATTCCGTGCCTGTCCCACTCGGGGGGCTCCTCCAGGAGCTCCAAACCCAGCCCCGGGGTGGGGTGGGGGTCAAACAGCAACAGGGATTAACCCTTAATCCACTATAATTCCCAACTTAACTCATCCCAATGAACCTGCTGGGGATAATCCCAGAGTTTGGGAGGGGACTGCCAAGGATCTTCCTGGGAAATGGAGTCAAACCAGGAGGGTCTGGCTCCAAACAAACACCAGGACAATCCCTGTGCCCCTGCCCAGAGCATTCCATGCCCCCAGGACAGCTGGAAGTAGCACCAGGGGGTGGGGTTCAATTTTCCCCTGGGATGCACAAAACTTCCCCTCCCCGCGGATTTGGAAAGCTGGGATGGGGTTGGGGGCAGCAGGGGAAGAGCTCCTGCCCTTTCCCAATCCCCTGAGGTATTCCTGGTGTTGGGAAAGGATCCTCAGAGCTCATCCCAGCCCTATCCACGGATTCCCATCCGCAGGAATCGTCGGCAGGAGAAGGAATTTTCCCCTCCTGGCAAAGCCCCACAAAGCTTTTTACCACCTGCATTCCCTTCCACTCGTGCCAAGGGAAGGAATTCCAGCAGGAATCTGGGAATTGGATTTCAAAGGGTGGGAGCAGGGCCAGGCTGGACCACCCCAGAGGGGGAAGGGGTTCCAGGACCACCCGGCTTGGGAATCAGGAGCAATCCCTGGCTCATCCAACGGCTCCTCTGCTCCTTTCATCTCCAGCCAGGTCTCCCAGATTTCTCTCCAGGCTGGGGATGGATTTTGGAGGAGCAGATGAGGGAGTTGGGGGGACTGGAGGGTGGGAATTGGGGTGGGAATCGGTCCCCAAGTCGTGTCAGGGCAGCTTTATTTGGGATAGTGGGGGAAAATCCCTGCTGGGAAGGGCTGGCCAGCCCTTCCCAGCAGGGATTTTCCCCCACTATCCCAAATAAAGCTGCTTTTTGGGGGGGGGGGACAATAAATGACTCCAATTAACTTCAATCATTAAATCCGACGTTAAATCCACAATTAGGATGAGAAAACCAGGAAAACCTCCAGAGCCACAGCTGGATATCGGGAAAGCAACAACAAAATAATAAAAAAAAAAACAAACAACAAAAAAACAAAACAAAACAAAAAGAAAATAAAGAAATTCCTGCTGGTTTTATTTGTGGTTCCAGCAGAGTGGAAGAGGAGGATGATCCCTGGGGAATTCCCTGATGGCCCAGCAGGGATGGATCCCACATTCCTCTCCAATCTCTCTCCAGGGTGCTGTGGAGAGGGGGATCATCCCATCCCATTATCCCATTATCCCATCCTATCCTATCCCATCCCATTATCCCATCCCATCATCCCATCCCATCCCATTATCCCATCCCATCATCCCATCCCATTATCCCATCCCATTATCCCATCATCCCATCCCATCCTATCATCCCATTATCCCATCCCATCATCCCATCCCATCCCATTATCCCATCCCATCATCCCATCCCATTATCCCATCCCATTATCCCATCCCATCCTATCCCATCCTATTATCCTATCCCATTATCCCATCCCATTACTCCATCCCATTATCCCATCCCATCATCCCATCTCATTATCCCATCATCCCATCCCATTATCCCATCCCATCATCCCATCCCATCCCATTATCCCATTATCCCATCCCATCATCCTATCCCATCCCATTATCCCATCCCATTATCCCATCCCATCCTATCCCATCCCATCATCCCATCCCATCATCCCATCCCATTATCCCATCCCATCATCCCATCTCATTATCCCATTATCCCATCCCATCCCATTATCCCATCCCATCATCCCATCCCATTATCCCATTATCCCATCCCATCCCATCCCATTATCCTATCCCATTATCCCATCCCATCATCCCATCCCATTATCCCATCCCATTATCCCATTATCCTATCCCATCATCCCATTATCCCATTATCCCATCCCATCATCCCTGGCTGGCTCTGCTCCCAGGGAACAGGGACAGGATAAAGGGAACAGCCCCAAGCTGTGCCAGGGGAGCTTTATTTGGGATTTTGGGATAACCCCTCCTGGGAAGGGGCTGCCCATCCCATTATCCCATCCCTGGGGGGGTGGATTGGCCATCCCTGGGGAGGTGGCACTTGGGGACAGGGGCAGGGCTGGATTTGCTGCTCTCCCAGGGCTTTTCCAACCCCAGGAATGCCAGCAAAGAGGAGTGTTGGGACAGGAGGGGAAGGAAGGGAAGGAGGGAATCTCCTCCTGGATCCCCAGGACACGGAACCAGCTCCTATCCCAGCCCAGCCTGGGCGGGATCAGGCTCCATTCCCAGCTGGCTCCGGGATTTTCCAGCCCTGCAGGTTTACTGGGAGCCTGGACAGGGCAGGTGCCACCCCAGCAGCTCCAGCCCCTCGGGGCCTGTGGAGCCCTCCGGGAGCTCCTGGGATCCTGGGAATGGGCTGGCTGGGAAGGGACCTGCAGGAACAGTCTGGGAAGCACCGGGAGAGACTCCCTGGGCCAAAGGGACAGGGGACACCTCCCTGCCCCTGTCCCCAAGTGCCACCTCCCCAGGGATGGCCAATCCACCCCTCCCAGGGATGGGATACATGGGATGGGCAGCCCCTTCCCAGGAGGGGTTATCCCAAAATCCCAAATAAAGCTCCCCTGGCACAGCTTGGGGCTGTTCCCTTTATCCTGTCCCTGTTCCCCTGGGAGCAGAGCCAGCCAGGGATGATGGGATGGGATAATGGGATAGGATGGGATAATGGGATGGGATAATGGGATGGGATGATGGGATGGGATGATGGGATGGGATGGGATGATGGGATGGGATGGGATGATGGGATAGGATGGGATGATGGGATAGGATGGGGATGGGATGGGATAATGGGATAGGATGGGATGATGGGATGATGGGATGGGATAATGGGATGGGATAATGGGATGATGGGATGGGATGATGGGATGGGATGATGGGATGACAGGATGGGATGACGGGATGGGATAACGGGATGGGATAATGGAATGGGATAATGGGATGATGGGATGATGGGATGGGATAATGGGATGGGATGATGGGATGGGATGATGGGATGGGATAATGGGATAGGATGATGGGATGGGATGATGGGATAGGATGGGGATGGGATAATGGGAATGGGATGATGGGATGGGATGATGGGATGGGATGATGGGATGGGATAATGGGATGATGGGATAATGGGATGGGATGATGGGATAATGGGATAATGGGATGATGGGATAACAGGATGGGGATGGGATAACGGGATGGGATAACGGGATGGGATAATGGGATGGGATAATGGGATAATGGGATGGGAAAATGGGATGATCCCCTCTCCACAGCACCCTGGAGAGAGGTGAAATCTGGGATAACACCACCAGGACAGGGATCTGTGAGTGGAAGTGAAAACTGGCTGTGCTGGGAGCGGGGTCACAGCACCGGGATCCTCCAGAGCAGAGGGAAAAGGGAGGGAATCTCCTGAGCCTGGGAAAAAAGGGCAGGGAATTCCTTTAGCTGGAAAAAGGCAGGGAATTCCTTTAGCTGGAAAAAGGGCAGGGAATTCTTTAAGCTGGAAAAAGGGCAGGGAATTCCTTAAGCTGGAAAAAGGGCAGGGAATTCCTTAAGCTGGAAAAAGGGCAGGGAATTCCTTAAGCCAGAAAAAGGCAGGGAATTCCCTGACCTAAAAAAACAGGCAGGGAATCCTCTAAGGCCAGAAAAAAAAAGGCAGGGAATGTCCCTATAACCTGGAACAAGGCAGGGAATTCCTTAAACCTGGAACAAGGCAGGGAATTCCTTAAACCCAGAGAAAAAAGGCAGGGAATTCCTTAAACCCAGGAAAATGGAGGGAATTCCTTAAACCCAGGAAAATGCAGGGAATTCCTTAAACCCAGAAAAATGTAGGGAATCCCTCAAACCCACCAAAAGGCAGGGAATTCCCTAAGCTAGAAAAGAAACAGGGAATTCCCTAAGCTAGAAAAGAAACAGGGAATTCCCTAAGCTAGAAAAGAAACAGGGAATTCCCTAAGCTAGAAAAAAACCCAAAAACCAGGGAATGACCTAAATAGAGAAAAAGGCAGAGAATGTTCCTACACCCAGGACCAGGCAGGGAATTCCATAAATCCAGGATCAGGCAGGGAATTCCATAAATCCAGGACCAGGCAGGGAATTCCCAAATCCCAGAAAAAGCCAAAGAATAATCCCTTTTTTTTGGGGGGTCAAATCTCAGTGCCTGAGGCCGAGGGAATTCCCTGGGCAGGGGAAGGGCAGAAAGGCCCCAGGGTGGGTGGAATGTGCAGGAGGATCCCCTTTTCCACTCATTTCCATGGATATTGTGGGGATCCCGTGGATTTTCCCGCTCCCTGGATCAGCCAGGGCAGGAACCGGACGGGATTTCAGATCCTTTCCCACCCAACCCATTCCAGGATCCCACAGAAAGCACCAACTGGTCTGGAAGGGTGAGGGGAACACACCTGGAGCCCTCTGGAAACCTCCCTGCCCTCCAGCTCTGCCTGCAGGGGAGGGAGAAGCTCCAAAGTCGAGGGAATTCAGGGAAGAAAAGGATTCCCAAGGATTCCCAAATCCAACCTGACCCCCCTTCCCTGGCGCTGTGGATTTTCCAAAGCCTTTCCCTCCCTTTTCCCTCCCCCTCAGGTTGATTTTCCTGCTCTGCTTTGCCTCAAAAGCACCTGGAAGTTCCTTTTCCCAGATCCTGGATCCCCCCCTGGGCTCCTCCTTTCCCACCCAGTTGTGCCCAAACCAAACTGCCTGGGTGGGAATTCCAAAGGGAAGGGATGGAAGGGCCGGGAATCCCCAGCACCACGGTCCAAGGGAGCTTGGAAAGATCCTTTGGGAATGCGGGGAGATGCAGAGGGAGACAGGAGCAAAGTGGATTGATGGAATCCTGCAAGGGTTTGGGATGGGAGGGACCTTCAGGGTCATCCCATCCCACCATCCCAGGGGTATCCAGCCTGGCCTGGGACACTCCCAGGGATCCAGGGACAGCCACAGCTTCCCTGGGAATTCCAGCCCAGCCAGGAATCCCTTCCCAATCTCCCCCCTAACCCTGGGCAGCCATTCCCTGTGTGCTGTCCCTCCAGCCCTCATCCCAAATCCCTCTCCAGCTCTCCTGGAGCCCCTTTCAGGCCCTGCCAGGGGCTCTCAGCTCTCCCTGGATCCTTCCCTTCTCCAGGGGAACATTCCCAGCTCTCCCAGCCTGGCTCCAGAGGGGCTCCAGCCCTGGGATCATCTCCATGTCCCCTCTGGATTCTCTCCAGCAGCTCCAGGTCCCTCAGGAATGTTGGGATCCCCCAGAGCTGCAGGTTGGGAAGTTCCCTGGCTCCTCTTTTTTCTCCTGGTTTTCCAGAGGGGAATCCTTGAACCCTTTTTACCCACTCCCTGCCTGCCAAATATTCCCAAAGAGGATGGAAAGAGGCCTGGAAGCTCCACCAGCCAATTCCCCAGGAGCCTGGGATGCAGCTCATGGGGGTCCCACGGGAATCCTGGAATGGTTTGGGTGGGAAAGGACCTTAAAAATCATCCAGTCCCACGGGCAGGGACAGCTCCCACCATCCCAGGGGGATCCAGCCTGGCCTGGGACACTCCCAGGGATCCAGGGGCAGCCACAGCTTCCCTGGGAATTCCATTCCAGCTCCTCCCCACCCTCCCAGCCAGGAATCCCTTCCCAATCTCCCCCCTAACCCTGGGCAGCCATTCCCTGTGTGCTGTCCCTCCAGCCCTCATCCCAAATCCCTCTCCAGCTCTTCCTGGAGCCCCTTCAGGCCCTGGAAAACGCTCCCAACTCTCCCTTGGATCCCTTCCCTTCTCCAGGGGAACATTCCCAGCTCTCCCATTAAAAACATCCATCCCCGTACCCATCCCAATGTTTATTTCGCTCGCTTTTTTTATCTCTCTTTCGCTTTATCTGCGAGCCGCACGCGCGGCCCCCTGAAGAAGGCGGGGGGGGGGTAATAATTAAACCATTAGGGAGTAAAAAAGCAAGGAAATTATTATTTTAAAGAGGATTTTCAGCGGGAATCGCCCGGGCCTCGGCACCGGGGCCCGGGCCCGGCAGCGGGCGTTCGCCCGCTGCCGAGCCGGGCCCCGGGGCCTCGGCCTTTTTGTGGTTTTTTTTAGGTTTTTAGGAGGATTTTGGGGTTCGGGACACACTCACGGGGCTCCAGCAGATGAGGGAGTCGGTGTCGGGGTCCTCCACGAGCGTCCACAGCTTGGTGAGGAAGGCGGGCACGTTGCTGGCTCCGCCGCCTCCTCCTCCTCCTCCTGCACCGGGGGCCGCTCCCCCGGCCGCGCCGGGGCCGCCGTCCATGCCGTGGGTGTTTTTTTGGGGTGAATCGAGGGGGTTTTAGGGGGGTTAAAAGGGGTGGAAAGGAGCGGAGGGGCCCGCGGGGCGCGGCATGGCCGCCGCCATCTTGGATGGGAGGGGGGAGCGGTGTGAGGGGAGAAGGGCGTGGTCAAAGGTGACCACGCCCACTTCAAGGGGCGTGGCTATAACAGAGGGAACGCCTCCATAGCAAGGAGGACACGCCCCATGTCCCTATATGGGCGTGGCTTAAACGCAAGAACACGCCCCATTTCCTCATATGGGCATACTCCTCAATGGGGTGGGCGTGGCTTCCACAAGGAAACGCCCCCATGAGGGACCAGGCCACGCCCACCCTGCAGGAGGACACGCCCACTGCTGGTTGCTGGTAGAGCTTAAGGATGGCCCTGGCCACGCCCCTTTTAGAAGTGGCCACACCTCCTGCCCGGACACAACCGAGGGAATGTGGGCGGGGTTATCAGAAATAACACCCACGTCAGGCAGGACACGCCCCCTCATGAATATCGACACGCCCCCGCCACCAGAGGGACATTCCCCGCCCACCAGGCCACGCCCCCCTGGATGTTGTTGGGCTCTCTCGGGAACGCCCCTCAGGGGTCTGACCACGCCCCCTTGCCCCACACGGCCACGCCCCTACCCGTGTTTGGCAGCGCCTGGGCGTGGCTGTGTGAAAGCCACGCCCACTGCTCAGAACCGACAGCGTATGGGCGTGTCCCTACGAAGGACACGCCCCCTCCCGATCCGGACCACGCCCCTCTCCCGCTGGCATCCCCGCCCCAGCGTGGCTCCCGCCGCGCGCATGCGCAGAACCCCTCAGCTGACGCATCAAACCACGCCCCTTTCCCAATCCCGGGCGGGGTTTCCTCTCGGCCACGCCCCCTTCCCGCCTCGCGCACGCGCAGTGCGGGCGGTGAAGCCGGGCGCGCGCATGCGCAGTGCCCTCCGTCCCCTCCGTGTCCCCCCTCCCGTGTCCCCTTCCCCCACGCCCCCATTTATTGTGTCCCCCTTTATTACCCGCTCCCCGCGACCCCAAATCCCCCAGCCCCGCTGTGCGGGGGCTCCGAGGGGCGGAAGCGGCGCGCGGGGAGGGGCGTGTCGCAGCCTTCCGTGACCCTGTGCACGTGGTTGGGCGCACGCGGGGCCCACGGCATGGAGCAGGTCCGGGGGCTCGGGGGGGCTGTTACCATGGGAACGGCCAGGCATGCGGGCACGGATCGGGGGCACACAGGAATGGGGGGACACACAGGAATGGGGGGACACACAGGGAATGGGGGACACACGGGAATGGGGGGACACACGGGAATGGGGGGACACACGGGAATGGGGGGACACACGGGAATGGGGGGACACGGGAATGAGGGGACACACGGGAATGAGGGGACACACGGGAATGGGGGGGACACGGGAATGGGGGACACACGGGAATGGGGGACACACGGGAATGGGGGACACACGGGAATGGGGGACACACGGGAATGGGGGGACACACGGGAATGGGGACACACGGGAATGGGGGACACACGGGAATGGGGGACACACGGGAATGGGGGGACACACGGGAATGGGGGGACACGGGAATGGGGGACACACGGGAATGGGGGACACGGGAATGGGGGGACACACGGGAATGGGGGACACACGGGAATGGGGGGACACGGGAATGGGGGACACACGGGAATGGGGGGACACGGGAATGGGGGACACACGGGAATGGGGGACACGGGAATGGGGGGACACGGGAATGGGGGACACGGGAATGGGGGGACACAGGGAATGGGGGGACACACGGGAATGGGGGGACACACGGGAATGGGGGGACACACGGGAATGGGGGGACACACGGGAATGGGGGGACACACGGGAATGGGGGACACACGGAATGGGGGGACACGGGAATGGGGGGACACACGGGAATGGGGGGACACGGGAATGGGGGGACACACGGGAATGGGGGACACACGGGAATGGGGGACACACGGGAATGGGGGACACACGGGAATGGGGGACACACGGGAATGGGGGGACACGGGAATGGGGAGACACGGGAATGGGGGACACGGGAATGGGGGGACACACGGGAATGGGGGACACAGGAATGGGGGACACGGGAATGGGGGACACACGGGAATGGGGGGACACGGGAATGGGGGGACACGGGAATGGGGGGGACACGGGAATGGGGGGACACACGGGAATGGGGACACGGGAATGGGGGACACGGGAATGGGGGGACACACGGGAATGGGGGACACAGGAATGGGGGACACACGGGAATGGGGGGACACACGGAATGGGGACACGGGAATGGGGACACACGGGAATGGGGGACACACGGGAATGGGGGACACGGGAATGGGGGGACACGGGAATGGGGGACACGGAATGGGGGACACGGGAATGGGGGGGACACACGGGAATGGGGGACACACGGGAATGGGGGGACACACGGGAATGGGGGACACACGGGAATGGGGGGACACACGGGAATGGGGGGACACACGGGAATGGGGGACACACGGGAATCGGGGGACACACGGGAATGGGGGACACGGGAATGGGGACACACGGGAATGGGGGGACACACGGGAATGGGGGGACACACGGGAATGGGGGGACACACGGGAATGGGGGGGACACACGGGAATGGGGGGGACACACGGGAATGGGGGGACACGGGAATGGGGGGGACACGGGAATGGGGGGACACGGGAATGGGGGACACGGGAATGGGGGGACACGGGAATGGGGGACACGGGATCGGGGGACACGGAATGGGGGGACACGGGAATGGGGGGACACACGGGAATGGGGGACACACGGGAATGGGGGGACACGGGAATGGGGGACACACGGGAATGGGGGGGACACGGGAATGGGGGACACGGGAATGGGGGGACACACGGGAATGGGGGGCACACGGGAATGGGGACACACGGAATGGGGACACGGGAATGGGGACACACGGGAATGGGGGGACACGGGAATGGGGGGACACGGGAATGGGGACACACGGGAATGGGGGGACACAGGAATGGGGACACGGGAATGGGGGACACGGGAATGGGGGGGACACACGGGAATGGGGGACACGGGAATGGGGGGACACGGGAATGGGGGGACACGGAATGGGGGACACACGGGATCGGGGGGGACACACGGGAATGGGGGACACGGGAATGGGGGACACACGGGAATGGGGGGACACACGGGAATGGGGGGCACACGGGAATGGGGGACACGGGAATGGGGGACACAGGAATGGGGGACACACGGGAATGGGGGGGACACACGGGAATGGGGGACACGGGAATGGGGGGGACACAGGGAATGGGGGGACACAGGAATGGGGGGACACGGGAATGGGGGGACACACGGGAATGGGGGACACACGGGAACGAGGGGGACACGGGAATGGGGGACCACGGGAATGGGGGACACACGGGAATGGGGACACACGGGAATGGGAGGGGGACACGGGAATGGGGAGGACACGAGAATGGGGAGAGGGACACGGGAGCGCGGGGGAACTCGGGAATGGGAGGTGACACGGGAACGGGGGGACACACGTGACATGGGGGTCACAGGGGGGACACGGGATCGGGGGACACACGGGAATGGGGGACACGGGAATGGGGGACACACGGGAATGGGGAGGGGGACACACGGGAATGGGGGACACGGGAATGGGGGGACACGGGAATGGGGGACCACGGGAATGGGGGGACACGGGAATGGGGGGACACACGGGAATGTGGGGGGACACGGGAATGGGGGGACACACGGGAATGGGGGGACACAGGAATGGGGGACACGGGAATGGGGACACGGGAATGTGGGGGACACGGGAATGGGGGACACGGGAATGGGGGGATACGAGAATGGGGGAGACACGGGAATGGGGGTCCCAGGAGCGGGGGAACACGGAATGGTCGATCCCAATCCCATTGGGATTCCCAATCGGGACCCTGGGGGTGGGGGCCTGACCTCTGGGGGACCCTCAGAGATGGGGGTTCAGACCAGTCCCAGTAAAGGGTCCTGGCAAGGGGGTGGGGGTCAGACCTGGTCCCACCCCCATGAGTGGGGGTCTGCACCGTGACGGGGGGTCTCCACCGTGACTGGGGGTCTCCACCGTGACTGGGGGGTTCCCACCGTGACTGGGGGGTCTCCACCGTGACTGGGGGGCCCCACCGTGACTGGGGGTCCCACTATGACTGGGGGTTCCCACCGTGACTGGGGGTTCCCACCGTGACTGGGGATCTCCACCGTGACTGGGGGTCCCACTATGACTGGGGGGTTCCCACCGTGACTGGGGGTCCCACTATGACTGGGGGTTCCCACACGTGACTGGGGGTCTCCACCGTGATTAGGGGGGTCTCCACTGTGACTGGGGGGTTCCCACTGTGACTGAGGGGTCTCCACCGTGACTGGGAGGTCAGACCAGTCCCACCCATGACTGGGGGTCTCCACCGTGACTGGGGGTTCCCACTGTGACTGGGGGGTTCCACCGTGACTGGGGTTCCCACCGTGACTGGGGGTCTCCACCGTGACTGGGGGTCTCCATCGTGACTGGGGGTCTCCACCGTGACTGGGGGTCTCCACTGTGACTGGGGGGGTCCCCACTGTGACTGGGGGGGTCCCCACTGTGACTGGGGGGGTCCCTACCGTGACTGGGGGGGTTCCCACCGTGACTGGGGGGGTCTCCACTGTGACTGGGGGTCTCCACTGTGACTGGGGGTTCCCACTGTGACTGGGGGGTTCCCACTGTGACTGGGGGGGTTCCCACTGTGACTGGGGGGGTTTCCACTGTGACTGGGGGGTCCCCACTGTGACTGGGGGGGTTCCCACCGTGACTGGGGGGTCCCCACTGTGACTGGGGGGGTTCTCCACCTTGACTGGGGGGTCTCCACCGTGACTGGGGGGTCTCCACTGTGACTGGGGGGGTCTCCCTGTGACTGGGGGGTTCCCACCGTGACTGGGGGGGTCTCCACTGTGACTGGGGGGTTCCCACCGTGACTGGGGGGGTCTCCACCGTGACTGGGGGGTCCCACCGTGACTGGGGGTCCTCACCGTGACCCCCCCACCCTGTTCCCTGGCAGATGAGCCCCCCCGAGGTGAGTGAGGACCCCACAGACAGCGAGGAGAGCGAGGAGAGCGTCTACTCCGGGCTGGAGGACTCGGGCAGCGACAGCAGCGACCCCCAGGAGGAGGAGGAGGAGGAGGAGGAAGAAGATGAAGAAGATGAAGACTCTGGCAGTGATTCCCCCCCCAAAACACAAGTAAGGGCTCTGTCACCCTCTCCTCCTCCTCTGGGACCCCCCAAAAAATCACAGGCAGGGAGAATCCAGGTGCTGATTCCAGCCCTGCTCCTGGGGAGGAGGAGGAGGAGGGGGTGTGAGGAGGGGTCTGTGCCTGGGGTTGGTGCCCCCCACCCCCCCAGGTTGGGAATTGTGGAGGAAAAGCCAAATCCAAACTTTCAGGGCCTAAAGGGGCTCCAGGAGAGCTGGAGAGGGATTTGGGATGAGGGCTGGAGGGACAGCACACAGGGAATGGCTGCCCAGGGTTAGGGGGGAGATTGGGAAGGGATTCCTGGCTGGGCTGGAATTCCCAGGGAAGCTGTGGCTGCCCCTGGATCCCTGGGAGTGTCCCAGGCCAGGCTGGATCCCCCTGGGATGGTGGGAGCTGTCCCTGCCCGTGGCAGGGGTGGCACTGGATCATCCTTGAGGTTCCTTCCACCGTGGAATTCCAGGATTCCACAGGACTGTGCAGTCAGGAACGTGATGAGCTTTTTTCGGGATAAGCAGGGAGATCCGGCTCTGTCTGGGCTGGGAATCTGGGAAGCTGGAGAGCTGGGAAGCTGGAAATCTGGGAAGCTGGAGAGCTGGGAAGCTGTTCCTTCAGCCTGAGCAGAGCCCAGGGAGCCAGTGCAGCTCGGCCCGTTCCCCCTCCTTTCCCCTTTCCCCCTTTAATTTGGGTTATTCCCATTCCCAGCTCCCTCTGAGCTGCCGGAATTCGGGGCAGAGAAGCCCCAGCTGGTCCGTGGGTTGGTTCCCCACTCCCCAGGGATTCCCAGGAGGGTCCTGAGCCCCCATTCCAGGCAGCAGCTGTGCCAGGGAGGGGCGGTTTTTGGGAGATTTGCAGGGATTTGGTGGATCCAGGCATTTCTTTTCTGCCCTCTGGTGGAACGAGCCCTTCCGAGCGGAGCCTCCCGGTGATTCCCGCTCTTCCCAGCGCTCTTCCCAGTTATTCCCAGCTCTTCCCAGCGCTGTTCCCAGTTATTCCCAGCTCTTCCCAGCGCTGGTCCTGCCCAGGGAGCCCAGGGGTCCAACCTGGCCCTGCCCTCCTGGCTGGGACCCCCAAACCCAGCCTGTGGTTCCCAGAGCTCCTCATCAGCTTCCAGCAGGAATTTTTTTTGTAGGGAAAAGTGGATTTAGCGCAGGAGTTGTGCTCAGGTGGGCTCTCTGCAGGTGCTCCAGTCAGGGATGTCCCACCTGAGCCCCGTCCTGCTTCTCCTGGAGAAGCTTTTGGGAAGGGTTTGGGATATTCCTCATCCCTGGGTGCCAGGTCTGCCGTGCCAGGGGGGAAAATCCAGTGGGAATCCCGCCCAGGGAGCCCGGGGGGTGCTGGGCTGAGGGGCTGAGCAGACTGGGAGCACACTGGGACAGACTGGGAGCACTGGGGAGGCTCTGACAGGCGCTGGATCCTCATCCTGGAGCAAGGGAGGGGAAGGGAAGGGGGGAACCAAGGGAAGGATGGAAACTCCAGCTCCGAAAGGAGAGCCAAAAGCCTGGAAAAAAACTTATCTCGCGACCTTACCCCCCACTTTTATTTTTTTTTTTATTTTTTTTTTTAATAAAGGCCTTTGTTTTTTGCAGAAATCCCATCCCCTTTGCCGGGGCCGGGATTTTCCAGGCCCGGGAGCCGCTCGGAGGCGGGCGGGGATCGCGGGGCGAGCGCCTTTCACGGCTCCCCCGGGGCCGGATCCGCCGCTGCTTTTCCGATTATCCCGCCCAGCCCCTCCTGAACCTCAGCCTGGCAGGGTCCTGCTGCCCCCTCCCCCTGCCCCTGCTCCCGGAATCTCTTTTCCAGGGAAGGAGCTGGGGCTGTCCGGGCACCCCCCAGGCCGGTTATCCCTGTCGGAGCATTCCTTCCCTTCCTTCCCCACTCAGGGATTCCGGGATTGTCCCCTCGGGGATCCCGGGATTGTCCCCTCAGGGATTGTCCCCTCAGGGTTCCCTTCATTCCCCCTCAGGGATCCCAGGATTGTCCCCTCAGGGATCCCTTCCTTCCCCCCTCAGGGATCCCGGCATTGTCCCCTCAGGGATCCCTCAGGGATTCCGGGATTGTCCCCTCAGGGATCCCTCAGGGATTCCGGGATTGTCCCCTCAGGGTTCCCTTCCTTCCCCCCTCAGGGATCCCGGGATTGTCCTCTCAGGGATCCTGGGATTGTCCCCTCGGGGAATCCGGGATTGTCTCCTCAGGGATCCCGGGATTGTCCCCCAGGATCCTCCTTCCCCTCAGGGAATCCTGGGATTGTCCCCTCAGGGATCCTGGGATTGTCCCTCAGGGATCCTGGATTGTCCTCAGGATCCCGGATTGTCCCCTCAGAGATCCCAGGATTGTCCCCTCAGGGAATCCTGGGATTGTCCCCTCAGGGATCCTGGTATTTTCCCTTCAGGGATCCTGGGATTGTCCCCTCAGGGATCCTGGGATTGTCCCCTCAGGAATCCTGGGATTGTCCCCTCAGGGATCCTGGGATTGTCCCCTCAGGGATCCTGGGATTGTCCCCTCAGAGATCCCAGGATTGTCCCCTCAGGGAATCCTGGGATTGTCCCCTCAGGGATCCCGGGATTGTCCCCTCAGGGATCCTGGTATTGTCCCCTCAGGGATCCTGGGATTGTCCCCTCAGGGATCCCGGGATTGTCCCGTCAGGGATCCCGGGATTGTCCCCTCAGGGATCCTGGGATTGTCCCCTCAGAGATCCCAGGATTGTCCCCTCAGGGATCTCGGATTGTCCCCTCAGGGATCCTGGGATTGTCCCCTCAGGGATCCTGGGATTGTCCCCTCAGGGATCTCAGGATTGTCCCCTCAGGGATCTCAGGATTGTCCCCTCAGGGATCCTGGGATTGTCCCCTCAGGGATCTCAGGATTGTCCCCTCAGGGATCCTGGTATTTCCCCCTCAGGGATCCCAGGATTGTCCCCTCAGGGATCCCGGAATTGTCCCCTTCACCATTTCCTGGCATGGAAAAAAAAAACACACCCTGGGATGATCCAAGTGCAGCATCCCGGGGATCCTGGTGGGAAATCTGGGCTGGAGGTGCCTGGCACGGGGGATGCTGGGGATGTTTCCATCCCCAGGGTGCTTGGAGAGGGACAGCCTGGATCCAAAGGTGCTTCCAGAGCCAGCAGTGCCTTTGGATTGGGCAGGGGGGGTCACTGGGGCCGAATCCGGTCCAGAACGCTTTGGTTGGTGGCTCTGGAGTCAGGGAATCTTGGAATGGGTTGGGATGGAAAGGACTTGAGGAACAATCGGTGCCACCCCTGCCATGGGCAGGGACAGCTCCCACCATGCCAGGGGGATCCAGCCTGGCCCGGGACACTCCCAGGGATCCAGGGGCAGCCACAGCTTCCCTGGGAATTCCAGCCCAGCCCCTCCCCACCCTCCCAGCCAGGAATCCCTTCCCAATATCCCACCTAACCCTGGGCAGCCATTCCCTGTGTGCTGTCCCCCCATCCCTCATCCCAAATCCCTCTCCAGCTCTCCTGGAGCCCCTTCAGACCCTGGAAGGTTCTCCAAGCTCTCCCTGGATCCTTTCCCTTCTCCAGGGGAACATTCCCAGCTCTCCCAGCCTGGCTCCAGAGGGGCTCCAGCCCTGGGATCATCCCCGTGTCCCCTCTGGATCCACTCCAGCAGCTCCAGGTCCCTCAGGAATGTTGGGATCCCAGAGCTGGAGGCAGCTCTGCAGGGGGTCTCCCCTTCCATCCCGTGGGATGGGATCAGGGGTGACAGGGATCACAGGGACAAGGCAGAGCCGGGAACATTCCCCCTCAGGAAGGGGGGCTCTTTCCCATGGGAGTGGAGCAGCCCCAGGATGGGATCCAGGGAGGTCAGGACCCCTCTGTCCTGGAGAAATCCCAGCCATCCTGGGGCCAAGCTGTGCTCCGAGCAGGGGGTTGGATTTGGGATCTCCAGAGCTCCTTTCCAGCTCTGCTTCCATGCCCTGAGTTCCTGTGGAGTCTGGAGCTGTGCTGGCTCCTCATCCCTGGCTGGAGTTCCTGTTCCCATCCCACCTGTCCCTGCAGGTTGGGGGATCCCTCCCTTTGCCTTTGTCTTTGCCTTTTCCTTTCCTTTCCTTTTTCCTTTTTCCTTTTTCCTTTTTCCTTTTTCCTTCCCTTCCCTTCCCTTTCCTTTCCCTGTCCTTTTCCCTTTCCTTTTCCTTTTCCTTTCCTTTCCTTTCCTTTCCCTTCCCTTCCCCTTCCCCTTCCCCTTCCCCTTCCATTTTCTTTCCCTTTCCCTTTCCCTTTCCCCTTCCCTTCCCTCGAGCTCCAGGGGTGTTGAATCCGTGGTGGGATCTCCCCAGCGGATTTTCCCCCTCGGTTTTCAGGCCCCGGGGACTCCCAGGAAGAGAAAACCCCCGGAGGAGGATCCAGCCCCGGAGGGGAAGGAGGAGCTGCCCCCCCAGGACGAGTACGAGGACGACAGCTCGGATGAGGAGGTGGGACCCGCTGGAATTCGGGGTGTTTGACGTGGGAATGAGATCCAAGTGGTGGGGTTTGTGTCCAGGGAAGGGGCTGGAGAACTCCTGGGGGAGCTGAGGGGCTCAGCCTGGAGAAAAGGGGGATCACGGGGGACCTTCTGGCTCTGCAACTCCATGGTTTTCCAGTCAGTAATTCCATGATTTCCTGGTCAGTACTTCCATGGTTTCCCAGTCAGTAATTCCGTGATTTCCCAGTCAGTAATTCCATGATTTCCCAGTCGTTAATTCCATGGTTTCCCAGTCAGTAATTCCGTGATTTCCCAGTCAGTAATTCCATGATTCCCCAGTCAGTAATTCCACGATTTCCCAGTCAGTAATTCCATGGTTTCCCAGTCAGTAATTCCACGGTTTCCCAGTCAGTAATTCCACGGTTTCCCAGTAAGTAATTCCATGATTTCCCAGTCAGTAATTCCATGATTTCCCAGTCAGTAATTCCATGATTCCCCCAGTAATTCTGTGATTTCCCAGTCAGTAATTCCATGGTTTCCCAGTCAGTAATTCCATGGTTTCCCAGTCAGTAATTCCATGATTTCCCGGTCAGTAATTCCATGGTTTCCCAGTCAGTAATTCCATGATTCCCCCAGTAATTCCATGATTTCCCGGTCAGTAATTCCATGATTTCCCAGTCAGTAATTCCATGATTCCCCCAGTAATTCCATGGTTTCCCGGTGTGAGCGGGAGGGCAGGGATGTCTCCGGCAGGGAATGGCTCCAGGGGAGGCTTTTCCAGGTGTTCAGGAGGTGTCTGTGGGGTCACCCCCCGTGCCCTGGGCCCTCCCAGGGAGCCTCTCCCGGGGGTCAGGGGTCGGAAAAAGCCTGGAAAGAGCCTGGAAAGAGACTGGAAAGGGAGCTGCCGGGAGGCCTGGGATGCCCCCGGGGCTCGGCAGTTCCAGACAGGCCTTTGCTGATGGCTGGGAAATCAATTAACAGCCCTGGCCCGGGCTGGGGGCTGTGGGGGCGTTTGGATCCCGCTCCCGCCGCTGGGAATTCGGGTCACCTGGAAGGGCACCGGGAAACCTCATCCCAGAGCGGGCCCAGGGCTGGGAGGGGGCTCCGAGGAGGGGGAATATTCGGGGCTGTCCCCTCCTCCTGCCCTGCCTGGGAAGGGACAGCACGGGGAAAGGGCTGGAGAGCCAGGGAATGCCGGGAATAACGGGAATGTGGCACCCGGGGCTCGGGGGGGAGCGATGGGAATGGAGGGAGCAGCGACCTGGAGAGCTCGGGGGCATCCTGGAAAATCCAGAGGGGCTGGGATGGCAGTGCCTGGTGTTTTTGGGGATGTCCTGTGGTTCCTGGACAATCCAGGGGGTCTGGGATGGCGTTCCTGGTGTTTTTGGGGATGTCCTGTTCCCAGGCAATCCAGAGGGGCTGGGATTGTGGTGTTTTTAGGGATGCCTTGTTCCTGGAAAATTCAGGGGGTCTGGGATTGTGGTGCCTGCTGTTTTTAGGGATGTCCTGTGGTTACTGGACGATCCAGGAGGTTCAGGATTGCAATTCCTGGTGTTTTTGGGGATGCCCTGTGGTTCCTGGACAATCCAGAGGGTCTGGGATTGTGGTGCCTGGCATTTTTAGGGATACCCTGAGGTTCCTGGACAATCCAGGGAGTCTGGGATTGTGGTGCCTGCTGTTTTTAGGGATGTCCTGGGGATCCTGGACGATCCAGGTGGTTCAGGATTGCCGTTCCTGGTGTTTTTGGGGATACCCTGAGGTTCCTGGATGATCCAGGTGTTCAGGATTGCTGTTCCTGGTGTTTTTAGGGATGTCCTGTGGTTACTGGACGATCCAGGAGGTTCAGGATTGCAATTCCTGGTGTTTTTAGGGATGCCCTGTTGTTCCTGGACAATCCAGGGGGTTCCTGGTGTTTTTGGGGATGCCCTGAGGATCCTGGACCATCCAGGGGGTTCCTGGTGTTTTTAGGGATGCCCTGTGGTTCCTGGACAATCCAGGGGGTTCCTGGTGTTTTTAGGGATGCCCTGTGGTTCCTGGACAATCCAGGGGGTTCAGGATTGCCATTCCTGGATGATCCAGGGGGTTCAGGATTGCCATTCCTGGTGTTTTTAGGGATGCCCTGAGGATCCTGGATGATCCAGGGGGTTCCTGGTGTTTTTAGGGATGCCCTGTGGTTCCTGGACAATCCAGGGGGTTCCTGGTGTTTTTAGGGATGCCCTGTGGTTCCTGGATGATCCAGGGGGTTCAGGATTGCCATTCCTGGATGATCCAGGGGGTTCAGGATTGCCATTCCTGGTGTTTTTAGGGATGCCCTGAGGTTCCTGGACAATCCAGGGGGTCAGGACTGTGGTGTTTTTAGAGATGCCCTGTGGTTCCTGGACAATCCAGGGGGTTCCTGGTGTTTTTAGGGATGCCCTGCTCCCCCTGCAGCCCCCGTGGCAGGAGCTGGCCCTTCCTGGGGGTGGGATCAGAGGCCCACCTGGGCTGAGCCGGAGCTGGCGGGTCTGGAATAGAGATTTGGGAAATATATGACTATAGAAAACGTACACTTGTGTAATGTCTCCAGCAAAAACCCCGGGCAGGGGGAGGGAAAAAAAAAAAACCACCAAACAACACAAAACCCCAAGCCTTTCATGCAGGAATTCCAAGGTCTCTCTCTCCCAGCTGGTCCTGCTGCAGGGCCCCGGTGGGGGGAGCTGATTCCGAACCTGTTGACATCAGAGCAGCTTCCAGTGGCTTTTTGTTCCTCGTTCCCCATTCCCAGCCCCCCTCCCTCCCTCCCTCCCTCCCTCCTCGTATTTATCTCTTCCCCCAGATCCCCGAGGAGGGTTCTGCTTCCTGCCCTTGGGATGTGGCACCAGGGGCTCTGTGCTGGGGTGGGGGGGACACGGCAGGGACAGCCTGGCCACGGCTGGGGCCGGGAAAACCCTGGGATTTGGGGTTATTTCGGGATTTCTTTGGCGCTGTTCGTTTGGGACCCGCCGAGGCCTCGTCCCAATTGACGGGGGGGGGGGGGTTGGGGCTCGTCCTGGTTAATCCATCTGCCAGGGACCTGTGGGGGCAGGTTTTGGGAACAACCTGTGGCTGTGGTGGTGGGGTGAAGCGGGAATTGTTCTTTCTGAGCAGTGTTTGCCTCAGCTGGGTGGAATTATCGAGGTTTTGGGGCTCGGCGTTGTTGGGACCCCGAGGGAACGGCTGGAGCTCTGGCAGGGCAGGCTCAGGGGGGGATATTTGGGAAAATCCCTCCTGGAAGGGGCTGCAGGGCTGGGATAACACCAGGACTCTGATCTCCCAGGGCAGTGGTTTGGAACAGGACCGTGGATTTGGGGTGGAACACCTGGAGGCAGGTGAGGGTGGAGGGGGCTGACTGACCCGTCTGTGACTGGCAGTGCCACCCCTGTGGATGTCCCAGCCCAGGGAAAGGCTGGGAAAGGCTCTGGGAAAGGCTCTTTGGTGTCCCTGTCCCCCTTGGCTCCGTCCCCGCAGGTGACACCGGTGGGTGCTGATCCGTCCGGGATCACCCTGTGGGATCACCTTGGGCACAGCTCCTGGTGATCCCAAATTCCCCTCGGTGATCCCACATTCCCCTCGGTGATCCCACATTCCCCTCGGCCTGGCTTCAAATTCCAGAGGCTTCCCACTGCCAGAGGGCAGGCTTAGGTGGGATATTGGGAAGGAATTCTCCGCTGGGAGGGTGGGGAGGGGCTGGGCTGGAATTCCCAGGGAAGCTGTGGCTGCCCCTGGATCCCTGGAAGCGTCCCAGACCAGGTTGGGATCACCTTGGGATAGCGGGAGGTGTCCCTGAACGAGATGATCCTTAACATCCTTCCCCACCCAAACCACTCTGGGACTCCAGGATTCCCTGGGGCATCCCTGGAAGTGTCCCAGGCCAGGTTGGGCAGGGATTTGGAGCAGCCTGGGGTCGTGGAAGGTGTCCCGTGGCAGGGGGGTGGAACAGGGTGATCTTTGGAGTTCCCTTCCCACCCAAACCAGCCTGGAATTCCCTCAACCATCCCCCGAGCCAGCAGGACCTGGAGAAGGGCTGTGGAGCTGCTGTGTCCCCCTGCGAGCTCGGCAGCTCTTTAATGCCGCTGCCCCCGAGCTCTGCACAGCCTGCAGCGCTCCCTGCTCCTGGAACATTCCCTGCTCCTGCAGCATTCCCTGCTCCTGGAACATTCCCTGCTCCTGGAACTCTCCCTGCTCCTGCAGCGCTCCCTGCTCCTGCAGCATTCCCTGCTCCTGGAGCGTTCCCTGCTCCTGCAGCGTTCCCTGCTCCTGCAGCATTCCCTGCTCCTGGAACTCTCCCTGCTCCTGCAGCGCTCCCTGCTCCTGGAACATTCCCTGCTCCTGGAGCATTCCCTGCTCCTGGAGCATTCCCTGCTCCTGCAGCGCTCCTGCTCTGCAGGCTCCCTGCTCTGGAACATTCCCTGCTCCTGCAGCATTCCCTGCTCCTGGAGCATTCCCTGCTCCTGCAGCGCTCCCTGCTCCTGGAGCATTCCCTGCTCCTGCAGCGCTCCCTGCTCCTGCAGCGTTCCCTGCTCCTGGAGCATTCCCTGCTCCTGCAGCATTCCCTGCTCCTGGAGCCTTCCCTGCTCCTGCAGCATTCCCTGCTCCTGAGCATCCCTGCTCCTGAGCATTCCCTGCTCCTGGAGCATTCCCTCCTGGAGCATTCCTGCTCTGGGCGTCCCTCATTCCCTGCTCCTGGAGCCTTCCCTGCTCCTGGAGTGTTCCCTGCTCCTGCAGCATTCCCTGCTCCTGGAGCATTCCCTGCTCCTGGAGCCTTCCCTGCTCCTGCAGCATTCCCTGCTCCTGCAGCATTCCCTGCTCCTGGAGCCTTCCCTGCTCCTGCAGCGCTCCCTGCTCCTGCAGCATTCCCTGCTCCTGGAGCATTCCCTGCTCCTGGAGCCTTCCCTGCTCCTGGAGCCTTCCCTGCTCCTGCAGCGCTCCCTGCTCCTGGAGCATTCCCTGCTCCTGGGCCTCCCGCGCTCTGGTGCCCTGCCCTGGAGCGCT